GTAATAACCTCGCCTCGAGCGAGAATATGCTTGTGTTTTTGTTTTGTTTTGTTTCCTTTGAAGCTCAAACATCCTACCCCGAGAAATTCTCCAAATTTCGTTCACCAAGCCATGCATTTACATCGTTCTACCCCCTATTTTACGCCATTGAGGGAAATATCTAGTTTAAGTGTGTGTGTGTGTGGGTGGGGGGGGGGGTAGTTTATTATAATGCTTGTGTGTGTGATTGAATGCTTGGAGCCTTGATGTATGCCCAAATTTGAAAATTTTGAGGGCTCCAAGGAATGGATGATCAAATGCCTGGTTGATCGGTGAATCTCGTGCTTATTTGGCATCGATCTTGAATTGTTGCATGTTATTGAGTGCATCCTATTATGATGACTGAGAGTGCATTAGGTGTGTGCAAATGTTTAGTTCTCATTTGTGCTTAAATGAATGGATGTCTTGAATTGGTAACTCCTTAATTACAATTGCCATGCATCGAAATTTTTGAAATTGGAATAGATGATTGGGTGGCTAGGTAGCCATCTGAGATTTGTTTCGATCGTCTTTTTCATGTGTGATAGATCCCTCTTGCCATGGTGTGTAACATTCACTATTGTCACTAGTGAGTATGATGGAGGCATAGGATTAGTCCACGCCCAAAATTTGATTGTCCTGAAACATCTTATCCCCTAGTCAACCCCTTTGAGCCGTGTGACTTTGGGGGTCGTTCTAATGTTAGGAGCTTTGTGCTTGTTGAGATTAATGGTGATTGAAAGAACAACCCCTCATCCTTTCTTCGTGTCAAAGTGTGAGTCATCCTTGTGTCTTAGAGTTCTCGCTTTTGAGCTCCTTTGTGGTTCTACATAGGTGGTTTTGCACGATTCTTGCTAGAAATGAAAATGTAGTGGTGGAGGAAAGTGTTTATGGAGAGCATTGTTCGTTTAAGGATAAGTGGCATGTAGTGTACTCTCTAGTACTCCCCTCCCCCCCCCCCCCCCCCCAGGAAGAAAAAAAGAGATAAAGAAAGAAAGAGCAAAAGAAAGAAAAGAGGTAATGAAACGGGTAAATAAAAGTAAAGAGTGGCCACAAAACTCTAAGTGAATACTCCAAGAAGGGTTTCTCCATTGAAATACCTAACTTGTTTGATAAATTCCTTCACTACTAGGTTTGAAATGTGAATAGCAAGAAGAGACCGAGGAGTGTGCTTGAATGAAGTTCGTGATTGGTATTGTTTTGGAAGAAGGGAAGTGTGGTTTTTGGCCGATGCTAGTGGTCGTTGATCATAGGAAATGTTCTTAGTCGAAAACATGGAACCTTTGGTTTTAGGTTGAAGATGTAGGACCTCATGCTATATTTTACACCACCCAAAAAGCTTTCCCCCCATGTCCAAGACAATTGTCATTCATTTGAACATGTCTCTAAGACCTTCGGACAAGCTAGTGTTGATAACCACCCTGTGAACTCTAGCATTTAAAGGTTGTCGCCGTGGTGGAGAGACGATAGGGCTGAGTGTTGATGTTTACCCACATATTTTGCACCAAAAAGGTCCTGGCGCCACTGGTCGTGAATGAGTGATCCATTCTTGTTTTGCATTTTCATATCCTACCCCGATGAGGACCTTTGTCGCCTTTTCATTTGTTCCTTGGATTTGAGTTCTATGCATGGTTAGTTGTGGTTGGTGAGTAGTTCGGTCGAGACTTGCGTTGATTTGTGAATAGGGTGAGAACCAAGGTTGTCAACCCGCGGGTCGACCCGCAGGTTGACCCACTTTGACCCTGACCCGGTGAGAAAAACGGGCCGCACGCACCCGCTGGGTCGACCGACACAAGGTACCGGGTTGGAGGTCAAATTGTGTCATTTTTTGTTTGTTTTGCAAAATGCACCTATTTTCCGATTTTTCTTTTCGCCTAACTCAATCTTTGGAATCCTAAGTTGAACATTTGAATATTAATTTTATATAAGTGTGTGTGAATTTTCACTATATGTTGAATCTAAGTACGAAATGTTATTTTGGTGTAATATTATATGTTATAACTTATATGTTAGATGAGATTTGATATAATTTATCAGGATAAGTACAATATAATGACGCTTTCCATATTTCTGGGCTAAACCGGGTTAAAACGGGTGACCCATTAACCCTTGACCCACCAGCTCAACCGGGTCCGGGTCAACCCGCGGGTTGACAGCCTTGGTGAGAACTTTTCATTTGCTATTCTTGATGCATTCGAATGTTGTTTGTGGTGCATGCCGGTATTCCTAGAGGCGGTTCATGCATTGATGTCCAATAGCCATTGGGATTCACCACTTTGTGTCTTTTGATTTGTCCCCAAGTTATTTTGTTAGGTTAAGGTATCACCTTGGTTGAAAATGGTTTGCTTGGGGAAAAGTAAACTTCTAAGTGCGGGGGAGTAATTCAGGCTTAATTGTACACTTTTTACCCCTGATTTCCTTAGTCGTTTGAGGCATTTTTACTCTGGGAGGTTTGGTTTTACGCTAGGTTTTGTCTCATTTTTTGTGCATTTCAATCTATAGCAGGTGGAACCAACCCCGGATTCGAAAGTTAGCGAAATGGAGAAAAATTGGATCCAAGGATGGAGGCAGTAGCAAAATCACGGTGGAAGAAGTGAGTTCACGGTCAGGGAGACCGTGAACTGGAGCCGCAAACCGTGAACCGCCAAGCGCCCAGGGACATTTTTGCTTTCACCGGACTCAAGCCAGTTCACGGTCGTAAGACCGCGAAAGCAAGCCGAAGACCGTGAGTTGGATTATTGATGAGGCGCGTTTTGGCCTAAGATCACGGTCCCCGCCTTGATTTCACGGCCGTGAACTGGGACCGTGATGTGAGTCTGACCTAGGTATAAAAAGGGGGGTTTGAGTTGAAGAAAAAAGGGGGCGACCTAGTGTGAGAAACTTCTTCTTCTTCTTCAGATTTCTAGAGTGAGAAAGTGACAAACAAAAGAAGAGAAGAAGCTAGTGTTTCATCTTCAAGCAAGGTTTTGTGAATTCCTTCCCCAAAGAAGGATCTCTTCAACACAACGAGCAAGGCTAGCATCTCCATGATGGTTTCCCTTCTTCTCTCTTGTGTTTTCCCTTCTCCTCTCATGGGGTAGTCCTTTATTTCACTTGGGTATTTGTAAACCCCAGCTACAATAATATGAATGTTTGTATGGGTTGAATGATTTATGTGTGGATGTGTTTTAATATGAATTTGGAGGGTATCTTTATGGAAGATTGTGTTGTGTGTTTGCGTATCACTCTATTTGCCATTCTAACCTAGGTAGAGAGAAAACCCTCTTTCTTTGAAAAGGCTAGTAAAGCTGGGTTTTCTTAGGAAAACCTTGTCTCCTATCTAGGTTAATGTAGGGAAACCCTCTTTGTTCGTATTAGCACCTAGGGTTGGTTGTAATTTGGTCATCCGAACTCCAATTCAAGGGTGAAGTCTTGGCAACCCTTAGTCAATAGGTCAAGAGAGCTACTTTGGTGGCTTGAATTGAATTCCCTTGACCTATTGACCGAGAGAGTGGCGTTTGTTCACTTGTTGCACTTCCCTACGGGTTACAACCTCCTTACCACACGTGTCCATTCAATTCGACAAGTCATAATTGCTAGCTAGGGGGAGCAACACCCGGGTGAAGCCTTCTCAATTTGTGTCAAATCTATTTACTTTTCCAAACGTTTTAGCTATAGATCGTCGTTGTCACAAAAACCAATCGCTAGATAATGTTTCAAACAATCGAAGTAGATTTGATATTTAAACACACTTGCCCTATATTGCACCCAATTAAGGTTTATACTTGGGACTTAATTGAGAGTTTCATTGTGATATTCGGAAGGAGTCAACTATATATCCTCATTATTTATGCTACCCCTCATAGGGACCGGGATTTAGCACTATGTAACTATAAGTTGTAGTAGTCTGTATAGGAGTTATAGTTCTGCAACTAAAATGAAAAATGATTATAACAACAGTTACTACAACAGTACAACTATGACTTGTGTTGGAGTTGTAGTCCCACAACTGGGGGAAAACAATGAATTTAGCTGCAAAAACAATTATTACAACTATTTATACTTCTACATATAATGTTTAGCAAGCTAACAGATTCCCATACTTTGCTAACCATATCAGTGTTAACATCATACTAATCATGAGTTGTAATATATGCGTAAGAGTTGTAGTCATACTACTAGAGCTGGGAAAATAGACCAGACCGTTAAATAAATCGTGGTCCAAACCGTACCGCACAGTTTGGTCCGGACCGTAGACCGTTAAGTATGGTCTGGTCTGTTACATGGTCTGTATTATTTTATGTTTTGACTCTTGGTCTGGTCTGGTCTAGACCGCGGTTTACCGGACTAAACCGTGGAACCAACTGACTTGTCAATACGTGTTAATAGCCCATTCGACCACTCTCCCAACTCCCACAACGACACTCAAGTCTCAACCTTAGGTTCGTGAATCTCGTCCCTCCTTCATTCACAACCACATTTAACAAGAGAGTAGAGATAATCGTGTCTACATATGACATTATGTTAATGTTTATGACGTTATGGTGCAAGTTGGGAAGCTTTTACTTTGTATCTTTGTTATGTACTAAGATTTAGAGTATCCATATTATTCATGCATGCTAGGATTAATGTTTTAAGGAAAATAACAATTATTTTTCTTGGTTATTGGTTCAATTTTTTGTGTGGTTGACTAAACAAATTATTCATTTTTTGTTGAGTGTGGTCTATCTGGACTAGACCAGACCGAACCAGACCGCATAGGCGTGGTCTGAACCGGACCGTATAATCTGTGGTCTGGTATGCGGTCTATATTTTAGCCTCTCGATCTGAACCATAAACCGTATATATGATCTTATCTGGACCTGACCGCACCATTTCCCAGCCCTACATACTTCAAAAAAACAGTGACCATCACTGCAAAATCAATGATTATAACTATGATTGCATTACAACTAAAATAAAATAACTAGCAAATACAATCACTACAACTACCATTGCACTACTGTAACTCATCATTATTATTGTGCTAAGCTTATAACCGATACCCACCTCATAGGAAAACGTTTCACCCGCGTACCATTTTGACCATTGGCCAACAAATACATATATCTTTATTTATGTAGTCACTGTGTAGATAATGTGTATACTACAGCTTAATTAACCTTAGTCTTCTGGTTTTTATTCGCAGGTGCCTTATCGATGTAAGATTCCACTTGATCCTCCATTGCTTGTACCTGCAGTCATCAGTTTCCGTTTTGTTGGGAACTTGATCAGAAATAAGAACGTACATACTAAACATGTTGTGCGAAAAAAGAAAAATGTTCTCGAAAATAACCGTTAGAGAATCAAATGCATAAGTATAGGTCATGTAATCGTGTAGCTTCTTTGTTTAGAGTGAAAAAGGTTTGATAAGGGGTGGGATGGGATGCTAACCCATACCCGTTAGCACCTGCTAATCCCAAAACGCTACACACGTATTCATACAAACACTATACACGTATTATTAAAAATCACTACTACCAATATATTGAACCTCAATATTGACGAAACTACATAGTCTCAAGACAACTATGACCAGAAACACTACCATGACCGCACATCAAACTACTACAGACCCTACATATTAACAACACAGGCGATCAATAAAAAAAGATTACCAAAAACTTCCATGCAAAAACACTACCACGTCTATTATGACGGTGCTAACCCCCTATAGGATTAGCACCGTAGCTTGTCCCGTTTGATAATTGAGGATAAAATATCGTTTCTAATCTTTTTCGGGTTCATTGTTGGTCACTGAAATTACAAAAAACGTTCATATTTGGTAACTCGAAATATTTAAATTCATTCATGGTCACTAGATTTTGTAAAACAATCCAAATTTGGTCACTCTCCGTCCAACTCCGTTAATTTTATCTGATGTGGCAATCGACTCGCATAGTTGACCGTTAAATGTAAGACGTGGAAATTAAAAAATAATAATAATTAAATTTGAAATTTCCACCTCTAACACTACCACTAAAATAATATAAAAAAATTATTCATATTAATTTTCTAAACCTGCTTAGCATTACTTCGTTCTTGGCTTCTTGATCTGCTTCATCGGCGCTGCTGCTTTCGTATATCCCTGAATCCGACCACCGGAAGCCCATCACCGTCGACCCTAACCAATTGTACTTCTGATTATATTTCTCAGATGATTTATTTTCTCGACCTACTGATCACCTAATCCTAGACGGCTTTGAATTTGGGATTTTGCACTCCAGCCACCATTTCTCCATACCACAAAAGCGCAGAGCAATTCTAGGGTTTCATAACCACTTTTCCTTCCCCAATCTCTCCCTCTCCCTCTCTCTGGATCTGTGACTGAATAAGTCGCTCAGTGTAACTGGTTTCTCCGCTTCTCCTTCTTTCTGCGGCTAAGCGCGCGACTACCACTTCGGCGAGGCAGTGAGAAGAGAATTGCTGACGACGACGTTTAAACGATTCAGAGACGGGGAAGAAGACATGTTTGGAAAGGACCAGTATGCCCTCGACAAGGTTTCGAGAGAGAAGGAGCAGAAGAAAGAGGTTAGGGCTGTGGGTCCTTGCGGCGGAGGTGGGAGTGAGGAGTTGTTGATAATTAATGAGATAGTTTAGGGAGTTAAAATTAAAATTTTTTATTTTAGTGGTAATGATAATGAAGTAGAAATTTCAAAAAAAATTTTAACTGTCAATTATGAAAGTCGACTGTCACATCAGACAAAGTTAATGGATTTGGACGGAGAGTGACCAAATTTGAATTGTTTTACTAAATGTAGTACCCATGAATAGATTTAAATGTTTTGAGTGACTAAACATTAACGTTTTTTTATAATTTCAGTGACCAACAATGCAATTAACCCAATCTTTTTCCTTTATCAATTAGCTTGCATCTCCTTCATCTCTATTTGAATATAAGAAGATTGCACATAAATAATAGGTTCATTGTGATTACCTAAATGATATCTATGTTTAAGATTTTTTTAGACAAAAATATTCGGACCAGTTATACCATCGTCCTATCACTATGATATATTTTTACGACAATACTATGATCTTCTATACCACTATGATATACTATGGTAAAATATCTTGATTACCCTGTATTTTTTGTTCTGAATATCAAAACATGTGTCATTTTGCAAAGCATAATCTGATTTTTTATATAAAATTGATATCCGCATTAAATTGAGTGAGATAGAATCCGTTAAATTTTAATGAATGAGGCGGTTAGTGTTCCATAACATATATGGATAATGACCATTCTCATACCATGGCTTACTATTATAGTAAGACTTCATGTCATCTTATCATTGTCATACCGCATTATTATCACTATGATACCGAGTCTTATAATAGAGATAATATCACGTTATGACAACAATAAGACGATGTCAAAATTTTATATTTTAAAAAAATATCAAAATGAGTGTCACTTATAAAATAGCAAAAAATCTAATATTTCCATTGTCTTTTTATGTAATTCCAATTTAAGAAATGAGACTTACTCCCTTGAAATTTTGCGAGAGATTAAAGAAAGTCTATTACCTATCGATTTGGAATTTATACCAACTCACTCCCAACCCAAAAATGCACCGTCAATTCAAAAAATTATGGTTTCGCTGCTTACCCTTTATAATTGGATTATCAATAGTAAGATATTTTATTTCTAAGATAAAGGAATAAGATGGGTTATGGAGTTATACATAATCATGAGTTATGCATAGAAATCCAATCCTCATATAGCACATACACTAATATAAAAGGCATAGTTTTCAGCTATTCTCGTCAGTTTGCAAACGTGGATGAATGAATAATCATTTACCATTACTAAATCTTCATATGATCAACAAATCTGCGGGTGACCGGGCTTCTTCGTATGATCAACGAATCCTTATGAAACCCTCGGGGGAACTATTTGACATATCTGAACCTAATCACCTAAGCTATGTGAAGCCAAAGGTATACAAGGGTAGATTAAGAGATGAAGGAGGATCTCCTTAGAAGCATAGCCTCGTCGGCCAGTTTATTCACAAGGCCCCTAACTTTCCCATTTACACCGTTGGGCAAACAAAATCTGGACTGAGATGGACTTGAGATGATTTCCTTGTTGTGCAATCAATTGTTGCTCATGCGACTAGATTTCAGAAAGCGTTATGAGGTGCTTTTATGATAATCTACTCTATCTTCATCCTTGGACCCCAGGAATTGATGATTAGGAGAAATAAAAAGACATGTGAAGTTTAATTTTGTGGAGATTCAAAATTGTCTAAAAAGAATGCTTTGAGAATTTCATCAAGCTATTTTTCCAGTTCGATATCTTAGCCTACCTCTACTATCAGATAAGCTATCATCGGTTTATACTAACAAGCTTCTTCTACCAAAGGGAGTGCTGAAGTAGATTCAAGATGTATGTTCCTATGGCATGGAGGTGTGGAGGGCGAATCTAAAGTGTGTTGGGATTGAATGGCACGATCAAGAAAGGAAGGGGAATTGGGGCTATGAACATGGAATCTAGCATGCATGTTTTGCTCGTATAATATGGGTCGCATGGATCAGATAGTACAAGGTAAAAATGGTAGCATTTGGACTATGAATATGAGTTGAAGGAATTCATGGGCTTGACGACGTGTTCTAGAAACAATGTTAGTGCTTCAGTGTCCTTTCAGGGTAAAAGGTTCACTAGGATGGAAAGCCAATGCCCAGACTCAAAGTATCACTAGTGTGGGAATCTCTTGGGGCTAAGCACAATATGGTAGACTGACATATATATATAGCTGGTATGGAACAAGGGTTTTATACGATGTAATAGTTTTTTTAGGCCTGGTCGACTATTATGGATTGTATAGTCACAAAAGCAAAGCTGATAAAATGAGGAAAGAAAGTAGGTGGCTTGTGCTTACTGTGTCAAAATGTTAGAGACTAGGGATATATATATATATATATATATATTCTTTCAGTGCCCCTTTTCTCAACCGGTATTAGATGCAACGGGGTTCAAGTTTTACTTATGCAAAGGGATATGGGAGGAAGACAGTAGCAGGGATATTAACCAATCTAGTATGGTGTTCGAGTAATATAATGTTGTATTATGAAAGAAACACTGTCGATGGTTGCATGACCTTAGGCCTACTGAGGAATTGTAAAACATCTTCCTATTAATTGGATAAAATTGAGTAGCAATCATGTGAGCTTGAAAGATGATATGAAAGCTTTAAACATTGGAGTGGATTAGAGGTAGATATTACCATGTCCAAGTTAGGAGTGGAATCTTTGGAGCTGCTCATTTTGAGCTTCCCATTTTTTTTAGTCAATTTCCATTGGCACCATGCAAATGGTTTGCGAAATGAGAAGTAACTGATTTAGCGAGGAAAAATAGAAATAATATTTAGATTAATTGAGTAACATTAGTTGAAAGAGAGGTCTTTCACTTATCTAAAGTATCATTATTGGGTGATAAATGAGAAGGCCCCAATATGGGCCAGGTCGGTTAAAAAATAGATGGGCTGGTTCAAATTGTTATAACTATATGCAAGGTAGAGAGCAGAGAAAAGAGGAAGCTAATGGAGAATTCCACAAAGAGAAAGGAACAGATAGAATCGAAGAACAATGAAGAAAAGAGAGAGAGAGAGATGATAGTTGATGGGATGTGTGTTTTGTTCTTTTACTAATTTATTATTATATTTTTAACTAATTACATTTTGAGTGTTTCATACCGAAGTGGAGAGGGTGCTACACTAATGAGTGTTAACATCATTCTAACCCATCATTCTAACCTAGGTTGTCAAACCGATTTATGTCAGTGTGCCGGTTTAGCAAGTGGAATGGTTCAATCGGTGGCACATATCGGTTTGTGCCGGTTCATGCCGGTCAATATTACAAATAAAATTATAAATACTCATATTTAAACATGACATTTAACGTCAATACCTAAACATTTATATTTGAATCCAACAAATAACATCAATATTTAACGTTTATACTCATAAAATAAATAATAAAATAATTTTTATCAATTAAATTCTCTAAAATAAGATCATTTTACTTAGAGGTTCGTATATCGATCATGCCAGTCATACCGGTGGTGTCACGCCGGTTTTATGACCGGTACCGGTTGAACCCGGTACAACCGGTGGCACGCCGGCCGACGTGACAACCATAATCTAACCTAATTCATTAAAGGTATTATAGTAACTAGCGTGGGCCCCGGCCATTTGACCGGAGTAAGGTGAGGTATGAAATTTGATAATGTAATGGAGTATATAGTTTATTGTTATATAGTTTTTTTTTGGGAAACACGTGATAAAATAGTGAATTTTAGTAGGAAAGAGACATGAATTATGCAACGAATCAAAAATCAGCCTTATGAACCAAAATCATGTACCTGTTACCTTGTGAAACAATATTGTTTCTGGTAATATGATGAGGTGGAGTTAGTTTTATAGAACCGAATTCCAGAAAATCGAATGAAAAATTGCCTATCCCTCCGGTTTTCGGGAAATGAGCATCTCACAATCGTTGCTAGCTTTTACTCGGCCTGTTGGCCTATTAATTTGCTTTATAAAACTTTCATCTTGTCATCATTGTGCTTTCTGATTTTTTGCCAAGCCATGATAAAATCTAAAGAAATCAAGAATGAACAACACGATTTGGGATAGGAACCACCGTTCCTGTATCCCTAGAACTCACCTTCCAAACTTGTTTGGATTGAGATTTTTATCGGGTATCAGGGAACCATGTGATTATAAATTAGACTTGATCAAAACGGGCCAAAACTTGAAATTCAGCATGTTTGACCGACTCATGCCAAACTCTAATTATTCTTTACTTTTAAACTTTCTATTTGAAAATAAAAAATAATGAAAGAAAAGATATTACTGCAATTCGCCATTTGCACATCACCGATTCGGGAATAAAACTATTTTCGAAAGGAAACTGAAAATGTTTAGGATCGTTTTAATGTTAAAAATAACCAAATAGATCTTTCTATTTAGTTTTTTACTATCAAATACCAAACGATTCCCTATAATTTACACTATAATTTAATCATTATGATATCAAATAATTACATAATATATATGTGAAATGATAAAAATTGGACTAATTGGGTTGGTTGAGGTTGAACCATTGAATAACTTTAAAATACATTATGTTTTAGCCACTAAGATATAAAATAATAGCATAATATATATTATGCTAGAGAAAATAGCTTGTTTTAGAATGGCAAACTCATGATGTTCATTTGTTTTACTTGATAGGCAAATCCCGTGTACGTCAGACTCATTCACCTATTTTATTTTATGATTAGTGGTTAGCCCATTAGAATCCATGCATTAGTTTATTGTTAAATTTTTTTCTTTTTAGCAATAAAAAGGAGTATTGTTTTCACCTTTTCATATATATTTTACCACCACGGAGAAATAAAAGAACTTAAAGGAAAAAACTGATACTCCTGGACCCGCTTAAATCCGCATGTGTACGGTAAGTTGGCCCGTTCCACAGAGGAATAAGAAAAAAAATTAACACTCTCTATTCTACCCTTCCTACAAACGCTCCTGGAGCAGGAAATTTGAAATGGGGGAAGGATTTTTTCCTCTCTGCGATTATATATTTTTAATTTAAAAAGATACAACAAATGTACTTAGTGTGATTGGTTATGATCTTTACTTTTCTTTAAAGTGGTCATGCATGGTTTGAATCTTAGCAAGTGTCTTTTTAATGAATTAAAAAAATTAATTGTGAAGACCAAAATGTCCTTCCTACATTCACTCTAGATACAAAAAATTTGAAATGAGATTTCAAATTTTCTCATTCGCCTTTTATTTATTGTGTAGATAGATGTAGAGAACCACTCATAGCAGTTCCTTCCTTCACCCCTTTTTTTGATTGCTCTCTACCTCCCACCCACTTCAACTTCTCTCGTTGTGTTAAAAAACAGTAGGTTACTTCTAAAAAAATTATTTCACTATTGAAAACAATTATATCACCATTATAGTTTTTTTATTATGTTATCATCCTTTGTGAATTTTTTGAATTGCTTCCTGAGTTATTTAGTATGCTTTCTCGTCTTTAAGGTATGTTTCATGCATGAGAGTTGTAGTATTGTTACAGATATTTATAGTATGACTCGGGGAACTTGTGGTCTGTTTTATGAGGTTTCTAGAATGCTTCAGGGAACTTGTAGTATGCTTTATGAGGATTCCGATTTGCTTCAAGAACTTGTGATATGTTTGTCTGTTTTAAGGAACTTGTGGTATATTTTATGAGATTTCTGGTATGTCTCAGCGAATTGGTAGTTTGCTTTATTAGGTTTGTGGTCTGCAATTCATGGAACTTATGGTCTGTTATATAAGGTTAATGGTCTGCTTAAGGAAACTTGTGGTATTATGGTATGCCTTATGAGATTTCTAGTATAATTCAAGAAACATGCAGTGTGCTTTGAGTTTTTTTATATGATCTTTGAATTGTGGTATGATAATGTTCTAGTCTGACTTATAAGCTTTGTGGGATACTTTATGTTATATATGGTGTGATTTTTATAATGATATGGTTTTTTGTGGTCAGCTTCATGATACTTGTGTTGAGGGTGGGACTTGGAATAAAAGAGTAGCGTCAAAAGTGTGCATGCTCCTCTCCTTACAAATCAGCATTAATTATAATCAACCCCTTAGAAATAAATAAAAAAATCATCAAAACATTCCTATTTGTTAGAGCTAGTGTTAGTACCATACTAAAAAGTTGAGTGTTAGTAATTCGCAAATGTTGTGGTTTGCTTTTGTGAGGTTTGTGGTTTGTTTTAGGAGATTTGTGGTATGCATTAGGAGGTTTCTGGTTTGCATTAAGAAGTTTCTGGGGTGCTTTCGAAACTTTTGTGGTTTGATTTGCGAGGTTTCTGGTTTGTTTTAATATATTTGTGGTCTGCATTAGGACGTTTTTGGTTTGCTTTACCGTGTTTGTGGTTTGCATTAGGAAGTTTCTGGTGTGCTTTGCAAAATATTTATGGTTTGCTTTGTGGGGTTTCTGATATGTTTTAGCGAATTTGTGGTTTGCATTAGAAGGTTTTCGGTATGTTTTTTGTGGGTTGTTTTATTGCGTTTGTGGTTTGCACTAGGGGGTTTTTGGTGTTAGAAATATTTGTGATTTTGTTTATTCTGTTTTTTGTTGGTTTTAGTGACTTGTGCTCTGCATTAGGAAAATATTTTTGTTGGTGTATCGCAATGAAAATTAAAATGTGTTAAATTGCAGTAATTGGCTTTTCAATTTCATTGACCCGAGTTACAATTCTTCAAATTTGCAGTAATTGGCTTTTCAATTTCCTTTGTTGGTTTCTGAAATAAGTTTTTGGAAAGAAAACAAATATAATGATACAAATAACCAACAACCAATAAGGAGGGTAAATAGATAATACTTTGGTTTTCATAGTAAGACAGTTAAACTAAATCACAAAATATTTATTAATTAGTGTTTGGGATAATTTGTTATTACTCTGGTATGATAGCATATTTTGATGATGCGGTATTTAATAAAATTGAAATATAAATTTTATTCCAAAAATAAATTTTTGCTAATATAAGACGGTTAAACTTAATCATAAAATATTTTATCACAGATTTGTCATGTATCACCTTTTGTTTTATCAATCTAAGGTGGTTTTTATGCTTAGCATTTATAAGACGATTAATTTATAGAAAATTTGGTTCAATAAATTGTATTTCAATAGAAAAACTGAGGGCGCGAATTATGAGGGTAATACGGAAGGAGACCTTAGTGAGGACTTGTTGGGCAACATCGGCGGCCTTGGCAGCTTTATCGGCTGCCTGCTCCACGTCTTCCAGCAACTCCTTGAGCTCCCCTTCCGGCAGATTCTCTTCGATCTGCTCCGCCACTTCCTCCACTTTCTCCGCCACCTCCTCCACCGCCTCCACCACCTCTTCTATCGTCTCCACCACAGATTCCACACTGGCTGCCATCCCGCCGGCCACCAATATAAAATCCAAATAGAATTCCACAGTCAAATTGATTTTCCCATCTCCATCCAACGGAGAAAATTAAACTAGGTTAGCTAGCTCGATCAGCTAATTACCTTGTATCTTTTTGAGGGACCACAATTGGTTCCGCCAGAAGGGCAGGAGGAAGCTCATTATCACCCCTATTAGCCACCCTCTCCTGCAAATTAAATTGGGATTAAAAAAACTACTTGCAGTGTTATCTATGTTATAATATATATATATATATATATATATATAACTAGTTAATATAATTTTAGGGATGTATAATAACTAATTAGTTTACCAATCGGAACCGCCGGATGAACCTGGAGTGGGAGAAGAAACAGGGCCTCCTGAATCAACGTTGCTGTAAACAACCACGTCCCTGTTTGACGAGGTATTGGATCTTGCATGGTGATGGAGATCAAGTCCTTGAGGCCGGCGAGCCGGAACTGTAACCTGAGTAGTGTTGTTCTTCATCCTCCGGCAGCTGCCAGCGGAGTCGTCACTAATTACCACGTGCTGCATCGCAACAGTGAATACCGGCGATGAGTTTGCGGCCAACATCTTGGTGAAATCTCCGGTGAATACCCCCCAAGTGCTGTTATTGGCTTATTTTTTAGCAAGGGGCTGAAAGGAGAAGCTGGTTGGATTGATGGAGGAGAGGAAGGCTCGAGAGCAGCAAAAATATATATATGTCCAGTGGGTCACTACGACGTGGTGGTCGTTTTTGTTAAAAATATTGTATTTATGATTGACAATGAGACGGACGGGCAGGCAGGCAGACAGACAAACTCCATATTGTTATTCATATACATGTGCATTGTGAGGGGATGGGATGGGCGGATGGCATTTATTTTGCTGGTTAATGAAATGAGAGGCGTGGAGTGAAAAACAGGAGTAAGGCCGCACATAAGCGGCAATGATTCTGAGTACGAGTTTTGATCTAATTTGGATACCGCTCGTTATAAAGGAATTCAACTAGATTTGTTTACTAAGATTTTGGTCTGTGCTTTTTATTAATAAGTTCATGACCTCTATTCTGAGTTTGGCTAATTAATTAGATCACGAGATCGGCTCGAACTAAGGTATCGTATCATGTATTTCATAATTTTTTAATTGTCCGTGTTATTTAATAGTAATCACTGTATGAGCAATATATGATATTTATTTTTTCTCTTTTAAATTATAAATGAGACATTTGATCACATAACCAAATTCTTAAGCATAATATGTGGTGAGATATATAATTCAACAAATCTACGGATTACTAACAATCTAATTAATGATAAACTATTAATCCAACAAATCGATTTGATTTTTAGTATAAAAGGTCATATGAAATTACTAAAAAGGATTACCAATATAAAATATGAATAAATATTCTAAAAAATAAAAAAGTAGCCAAAATGGATCTTGTTATACTTCTTTTGTATTAGATAATATTTATTTTATTTTTAGAAAGAGAAATTATATTTGTTGAAATAAATTAAAATATGGTAAGAATAATCTTATATTTTCAAAACACTTTTTTGCAGAAGCTCCAAATCGTAGCTAGTTTCTGCTTTAATGTTATAGAAAAGCACTTTTCGACTTTTTAAAAGTCGAGTTTTTGGAGGTATTTGGCCTTATTTCAACTTTTAAAGTCGAAAAACACTTCTATAAACCGGACCAAACATAAGCTATGACGTAGTTATTCCCAATTACTCAGATCGGCAGATCCACCATCTATAAATAGATCTGGACGATTCCATTATAATAATGATTAATGTTGTTAATAATAAATAAATAAAAAATGTTGTTAATTATAAGAGAACGGTTCCCTCACATCAATTTCACCATTTCACCATTTGTCCCCTAGCTCGTTCCTGTGACTTTCTCTGCATGTGAATTGCGATCTCTCTTTCAATGGTTGGTATAACGGATATTTTATATTGCCTATATTTTTTCCTTGTTAATAATTTATCTTCGAACAAATATATTTGTACAGCAGTAATATTTCTATTAACTCTAAGCACCGTGATTGATGATTGAGCTAGGTATGCCAACTTCTTTCTTTTTTCCAGCCAATAATTGGTGGGTAGGGCAGATTGAAATAAATTTGGCTGTTGGATATTATTTTTCATACATTTAAGACTAAACATGTGCATATATATATGAGTCCCATTGTGGCTCGATAATTGTTCACCCAGATGGCAAATTTTTTACATTTTGATTTGCAGGTTTCTTTATTTTGCCTCACAATGAATGGCAGCACATGATCAACCCCTACCTAACGCTAATTTCGTTTTTCCCCGTCCCTTTTCATGGTGGTTACAATTTTCACAACTACGAAATCTATAAAACTTCATTCAGCTCCTTTAGATTTCTGACCATGACTTTTTTATTAAGTTGCGAGTCGATGTGAGGATTAGTATATGAGTTTTGATATATAAACATTAAATAATTTGTTTGGATAGATAATGCATTTCAATTTTGCTCAAATATATTAGTTAGTTAAATCTCTATAGTAAGACAAAGAATGGTCTTAGTAGAAGAGATAGAGTGATGATATAGACAAGTCATTGATGTATGATTTGATTGAACTTTAGTATGCATGACGATACTCGAGATTTACCTTCTTATACAATAACGTATTTTTACGTTTATGCATCTATAACTTGAAAAACCCCTAAACAACTTTACATTTATTTGCTTTACTTTTCATTGCTTGTTTATTCGAATGAAAACCCTAAAGATGCTTGGCTATTTTGTGTAACATAGATGGCATGGTCTGACTAGTTATGCATTTGAAGACCTTGTGTAATACCACCCTAGGCCCTAGGGCATCCTATTCCTAGGATTATAACTCGATTTATCCCATCCAGATTCTCTCAACCATGTATGTATCCCTTACTGTACTAGAGCGAGTCTAACGAAACTGTAGGGCGAGTTTGCATATGCAACGCCTTTCGTTACTTTTTTTCATCGTCCAATCATTTATTTCTACAGACTAAGGGAAACCTAAACCCGAGGCACTTCAACCCCTACATTTTGTTTTCTAAACCCAAGATAGGGTCATTGCTGACTGAGTAGAGAGACGTGACTAAGGGTCCTCGATGAACCTTAGGATCAATGTTGATCATTTTTATAGTGTTTTCTTAACTTTCATTTATCGACCACTTTCACTAATGGTCATTGAACTTATGATATCAGAGACCATTATGTAAATAGTCGTTGAACATTATTCTATTGGCGACCATATTTATAAACGTTCGCAAAAATTGACTTGCCACGGGCATTTTAAAATGGTCGTATAGAAAATGGTTACCTCATAGCTAGGGTTCCTCACCACTCATCAATTAAGTTGCCAACGAGGATGTTGTGTCCTAAAGAGGTATATGTAACATTTTAGTCGAATCCCAGACAAAGGTAGACCGTTGCTAACACAGTCGACCCCTAGCTCTTTCTCCTGATCTGGTCCCAGTCACCGAACAGCAACAGGAACCACATGTCATGTCATATACCCACCTATTCACCTTGTTTGAAAACATGAATCCACCAACTCTCCGTTTTCTTTCTAAATATTATTATTAGTTGTTTATTTTTGTTATTTGTTTTTATCAGTACCGATCAACTATACATTATAAATGATAACAACATATAAATCAAACTCTCCCAGCTAAGAGCCGGATCTGGTAATAGTTTCCTTAAGACGAAATCATACACTAGTAAGCTTGAAGATAAACGTGTGTATTTGGTGAAAAATACCTCCAATAATTGATTCCGATATTAGCTAACAGGTTGAATGCAGAGTATAGATTTGTTCTGATCCTCCGAGAAGGAAAGTTACATCATCTTTTACTCTACTCTGAAAGCTGGGTGGTAGGTTGCGGTCGCGGATGAATGGTGATTGGGCTTGTCCTTCCCTTCATTACGAACCCTATCTCAAAGTAGACTAGTGGGTAATTATTAATTAGAATAGAGCGAACGAGCGTGAAAGTTCTCGGGAACTGCGCAATCCTGCGTCATTTCTGAAGCGGAGACCGAGAAAAACGTGGGCGAAATTTAAATTGACCGCCTGGCCTGGCCTGCATTTAATTATTAACTAATAACAATATATACATCACACAGAGTAATGTAATGGATGATTAATTGATTATTACTATTAGACCATTATTTTCAGATTATTATCGCTGATTCACTCAATCGGCCCCTTGACTGGAACGGCTGACCCAACCCAAGTCTGTTATTAAACGGTGGCTCCCCACTTCCAACTACTCAACAACCCCATCCTCAACCAGCTCGACCGTCTCCGCAAAACCCCATTAATATTTCCACCTCGATCTTCAACAGCAGCTTCAGAGCCATCGGAGCGAGTTAGGTTAATCTTGTGATCACAAAAAACCAACACAATAAAATAAAAAAAAATGTTGCCAGCAGCAACAGCAAGTGACAGCAGAACTCCATTTGTTGCCAGCGGCGGCGGGCTTCATCATCATATCGCCAGGCCCAGATCCGGCGGGCTTTCTGCACTAGGCCGTGGTCTCGCTCTGCGGCAGGTGATTTCGTCGTCGGCGGTGAAATGCTCGCTCTCATCGACTCCGCCGTCCGCCGCCGGGATCAAGATGTTGGGCCGTCCTTGCACCGCCTCCACCTTTCCACATCCGAGGCACTCCTCTTCCCGACGCACTGCTGACGTGGCTGTCCGGAGTGCCGGCGTTGACCCGGTGGCAGTAGCAGACGCTCTCCCCGCTGGGATCTCCCTCCCCTTCGATCTCCCTCACGATTCCCAATGGTATTTATCGTTGATTCATTTTTTTTAATGAAGCTAATTAATTAGGATGGTCTATTTTTTTTTTTTTTTTTCCAATTATGCCAACTATAGCGTATGAATGAATCGCGATGAAATTTCTTTTCATTCTGATTTACACTTTTGATTCAGCGCCCTGAAAGTCTCACGTTTGACTTTTAATATTCATTAAATTGTCATCGTCGTCGTCGCAGGCAACTATGGCTTCTAGGTGCGGTGGCGAGTTTCGCTATACCATTGGCAACCGGCAAGTTGGGCCCGCTCGGGAAGTTATTCGGTGGGTAAAAAAAAAAAAAATAGTGAATCTTTCTTCTTTTTTATTATCCAAGTATATTTTTCCTCATCTTGGTTGGGGGTGGTGGCAGATAAGTTTGATGCGGCGGTGGACACGGCACAAGGAGTGGCGGAGATGGTGGATCAGATGGCGGAGAAGGTGGAGGAGGTGGCCGATGACATTGGGAACAGCCTGCCGGCGGGTGCTCTGAAAGAAGCACTGGAGTATGTGGAGAATCTGGCGGACCAGACGGAAAAGGCTGCTGAATATGCTGGCGATCTTCTCGATAAGGTAAACCTACACTTATTAGTTTCATAATTTTAGCTCCGGCAGGGTCCCCTTCAATATATCAACCATTATTATATTATATTAATTATGCTGTAATTACCCAGGTTTTTATTAGTTCATATAAAAACTGTGTGAGGTATGTATTGATAGCTAGGGTGGAAATTGCCAAATTGGTACGGTATCGGTATCCCAATATCAAATACCGAAATTTCGAATACCGAATTATACCCTAAAATCAATCTCAATCCCAATCCCTAAATATTTCGGTATCCCAATCGGTAATTATCCCAATCGGTATTATCGAATAGGAAATTAATTACCTTTGCAAGTAATAATTAAATACATAAGGAGAGGTGATATCTCCTTATGGATAAGGAGAATGGAGGAGAGGTGATATCTCAAATTCTTGTCATTGGTAATCCTTATAATTTGACGAATTGGAGGTTGAGAGCCGACTAATACTAGTGTTTATTTTTTTGGTGTTATTAAAATAACAAGATATTAGGTGACGAGAGTGACTTAATCTGGAAAGTCAAAATTGAGTTGGATGAGGGCTTCTAAGTTGTGAAAGAGTGAGTAATGACTAAAGGTTGTGTGTTATATTTCATTAATTTTTAATTTTTGGTATTTCTTGGTATATACCGATGCCAATCCCGTAATCCCGAATACCGAATAGCACTCCAAAATGAATCCCAATCTCAATCCCTAAAAAATAAGCCGGTATTGATAATACCAAATAGTGATAAATTCGATACGGTATTCGGTATATTCCAAATACCGGTACCAATCTTCCAGCCCTATTGATAGCCAGGCACAAATTAAATACATATTTTAACGAGTGAAGAAAGTGAAGCGAAAAGCAGAAATGAAGTGTGTTTTTTTCAGGCTCAATCAATGGATGGGAACGGTCAACTTAGCTGGATATGATCTCTAGGTAGCTGCACCACACCACCAACCCGGAAAATATAAACTTCAATGAAGCAACATGGCTTGGCTGGCTGACAATAATAATTAATTAATTAACCATACATGAATTGTCCTCTGTCCATTGGATAAATATTTTTATTTCCTACGATCGATGGAGCATTGGATACTAGTGTTGGTGACTGAAGTGGGGAAATTGATAAAACTCGGATCGATGGATGGATGGATTGCAGGTGGAAGAAGTGGGGGACAAGGTAGAAGCATTTGCCGAGTCAGCCATCGCCAAGAAACCCAGCTCCAGTTCCAGTACTATTGTGGTGGTGTCACAAGAAGTGAAAGCTGAGATTTAATCAAGTACATTCCTGCACTTCATACTGCGAAATTCATGGTCATTATGGTGATATGGACTACAGTTGAAGAGAGATTATCATGTTGAAGACACAACGATGACTTCCAATTGTCTTGTCCTTATTGTTTGCTTGTATCACCTCCACCTAGCTAAGCTACCACTCCAATACACGACTACTGTATGTCCAAACTATGCACTATGATTGTGGAATTGTCCAGTCCGTTTAGAAGCTAGCTAGTGTCAGCGTAAAGTGTAAACCCTTTACAATAATCTCATCCACTCCTCCAAAAATCAACATCACTATCACTAGTGTCTTTCACCAGGATCCCATTGATATTTGTGACATTCATTTGGAGATAAATTAAATGAAGCCTAGTTTGGTATCTAGCATCACATTCGTTGTGAAATGATAACGAATTTTATGTTTTCAAATCAATTACTTGAGTTGGTCATAATCGATATTTAAAAATAATTATGATATGTTTTGTAGCGTATATAGTGACACAAGCTTGTATTTAGGGGTGGAGTTTCTGTTATAACCGGTAACCGAACTGCCGGCCCCCCTTACCGACAACCAACCGAAATAAGATTTAGAGTTTGGTTATCTCGGTTTTCGGTTATTGGATGACCGGTCGGTTATTGGTTTAACTGAACGATTAACCGGTAACCAAACCTCCACCCTTACTTGTATTCCATGAACACATTTAGATTTACTACCAATTGATGGATCCAATATTCAACCGAAATCATACAATATGTCAATTTTACCAAGTTATTACACGCGGATGAGCTAAGCCCCCTAATTATTCACTCCCCTTTAGGGCTTTACCCATTTACAGACACGTATTAAAGAGGCAAGTGGTAAATAGTAGTTCTCTCAACCAATCACTCCAACAATTAGTAGAATCCCTTATTCCATCCACCAACAAAGCCATCCAATTCTCCCTTTATACACTTGGACATGAGGTGGAGGATTGATATGATTTGTGTCCTGTCATTTATCTCAAATAACCAAAGCAGCTCACCTCCCTTTTACCCTAGTGCTACACGTGGTAAAGGAAGTGGCATAATTTGGATAATTTGCCACACCAACCCATTTCACCACCACTTACATGAGGCAAAGGTGAAAATGGTGCAGGCTGGCTCTCCCTCTTCTCAATCAACTAATCTTTTGATTTAGCTTGTTTACCTCTTTTTTAAGTCTCACCAAACCACCAAAAGACCACTTTCTCATGCTTCCAAATACAAGTGGCAAGATGGACAAGTGTGGGCACGTATAAGCAAGGTAGATAGTAACAAAATGAATTTACAATCCATCACTACCTTCACTTCTACTACATGTGTCTTTAGGAGGAGAGAGGTAATCTTATGAAGTGACACGTTTTTCTTTATTTTGCTAACCAACCATGGCATTTATATCGATTGGTTGACATATATGTGTATTATTATTATTATTATTATTTTATTCTTTACACGTCATCCATGTCAGAAGTAGGAGGCGCTTATAAATAGGACGCTCATTTATGCTTTCTCGGCAGTTCACTTTTGAGATTTGAACTCTAAATCTCTCTCTAAGCCGGCTCAATACGCCGCTCCCGGTTACTCTCATCTCAAATACTGACTTGAGCTTCGGAGAAGGTCCCGCCGACCACCGGCGGCGGGTTCCTCTTTTGCAGGTGTCCATCTCGGAGGCTGGTGGCGGACGTTGGTCAGGAAGTTCAACGCTCACCGGATCTCAAACACATTGAAGCAGGCTCATCCAAGCTTGGCATCAACAATTGGCACCCATCGTGGGGCCTGGTGAGATTAATACCAACAAACCGTCAATCCAGCAAGACGAGATGGTCGCACAGGATCTGGAACCCTAAATCGGGATTCGTCAAGATCCAAATATCATTCGAGTTTCTATCTCCAAGAATCGAGGATCCCAACGAGATGGAAATGCAGGATCTACAACCCGAAGAAGGGATTCATCCAGATGCAACTCAAAACATCAATCAAGTTGCTATCTTCAAGAATCGAGGATCCCAACGAGATGGAAATGTCAGAGCTGCAACCCGAAGAAGGGATTCGTCAAGATGAAACTCCAAACATCAATAAATTTGCTATCTCCAAGAATCGAGGATCTCCCGACCAAGTTTGATTCGTGTCAATCTTTGGTCCGGAACATCGGGCCCTCAACCCACTAGTTCTTCCGTCGATTTGCCGTAAAATCATAGGATCGCGAGTCTTCCCATGGAATGGCACCCTAACCGCAACAATTGGCACCTATTGTGAGGCTTGATGAAAAGTTCCATCAACAATTTGCGCTTACTATGGAGCCCGGTGAAAAAATTCACAAACTGTCATTGTCAATGTCAAACTCTCATAAGACCTACGTTTTACCGGGGAAGCCCATGTGATCTACTTGTTGAGTAAACACACCTCCATCAATAAGGTCAAGGGTTCGATTCCCCAAGCATTCATTATTATGAAAAAATGTATGTTTCCACCGACACCATTCTACCTCCCATCAACTCCAAGTCCTCGTGTGAAAAATCATCATCACCAACTCCAAATTGCAAAGGGAATGTCACCACTTCAGGTCTAGCGTTGAAAAAGCTTCAGTCAAGAGAAAGTTTTTGTTAAACTCAAAAACTATTTGGTAAACCCTCCTAATCTCTTATTTTCGGTTGCTATCATTATTATTTTACCATGTTGTATTGTAACGCCAGAGTTTTGTCCTTCCCTCCGTGACATGGACAACACTAAACACACAACATAAGCCCTCAATGATTGGCATTGGTCGCTTTCCATGATTGGTTTGGGTCGTCTATTATCATTGTCATGGTTCTCCATGATGCCCACCACGACTGGTGCAGCCTTCCTGTCACAATTGACTGGTTTTCCATGATCGCTTGACATGATGGTATGGCTCGTCAACCATGACCGACACAACAGTCCAATAATTGCTCGCACAATTTGTGTCGCCTATGCATGCCATGATTTAAATCACTTACCTAGTGATCTCATTACCAATAGAAAACTCCGATCTCAATCTTAATTTTTCTATTGGTAAGGGGGCAATTGATGCATCCAGTATTCAACTGAAATCATACAATACGATAATCTTACCAGAGTTGTTACCCTCCACAAACACAATAGGCATGACACACTTTCCTTTATTACACGCGGATGAGCTAAGCCCCCTAATTATTCACTCCCCTTTAGGGCTTTACCCATTTACAGACACGTATTAAAGAGGCAAGTGGTAAATAGTAGTTCTCTCAACCAATCACTCCAACAATTAGTAGAATCCCTTATTCCATCCACCAACAAAGCCATCCAATTCTCCCTTTATACACTTGGACATGAGGTGGAGGATTGATATGATTTGTGTCCTGTCATTTATCTCAAATAACCAAAGCAGCTCACCTCCCTTTTACCCTAGTGCTACACGTGGTAAAGGAAGTGGCATAATTTGGATAATTTGCCACACCAACCCATTTCACCACCACTTACATGTGGAAAAGGTGAAAATGGTGCAGGCTGGCTCTCCCTCTTCTCAATCAACTAATCTTTTGATTTAGCTTGTTTACCTCTTTTTTAAGTCTCACCAAACCACCAAAAGACCACTTTCTCATGCTTCCAAATACAAGTGGCAAGATGGACAAGTGTGGGCACGTATAAGCAAGGTAGATAGTAACAAAATGAATTTACAATCCATCACTACCTTCACTTCTACTACATGTGTCTTTAGGAGGAGAGAGGTAATCTTATGAAGTGACACGTTTTTCTTTATTTTGCTAACCAACCATGGCACTTATATCGATTGGTTGACATATATGTGTATTATTATTATTATTATTTTATTCTTTACACGTCATCCATGTCAGAAGTAGGAGGCGCTTATAAATAGGACGCTCATTTATGCTTTCTCGGCAGTTCACTTTTGAGATTTGAACTCTAAATCTCTCTCTAAGCCGGCTCAATACGCCGCTCCCGGTTACTCTCATCTCAAATACTGACTTGAGCTTCGGAGAAGGTCCCGCCGACCACCGGCGGCGGGTTCCTCTTTTGCAGGTGTCCATCTCGGAGGCTGGTGGCGGACGTTGGTCAGGAAGTTCAACGCTCACCGGATCTCAAACACATTGAAGCAGGCTCATCCAAGCTTGGCATCAACAATTGGCACCCATCATGGGGCCCGGTGAGATTAATACCAACAAACCGTCAATCCAGCAAGACGAGATGGTCGCACAGGATCTGGAACCCTAAATCGGGATTCGTCAAGATCCAAATATCATTCGAGTTTCTATCTCCAAGAATCGAGGATCCCAACGAGATGGAAATGCAGGATCTACAACCCGAAGAAGGGATTCATCCAGATGCAACTCAAAACATCAATCAAGTTGCTATCTTCAAGAATCGAGGATCCCAACGAGATGGAAATGTCAGATCTGCAACCCGAAGAAGGGATTCGTCAAGATGAAACTCCAAACATCAATAAATTTGCTATCTCCAAGAATCGAGGATCTCCCGACCAAGTTTGATTCGTGTCAATCTTTGGTCCGGAACATCGGGCCCTCAACCCACTAGTTCTTCCGTCGATTTGCCGTAAAATCATAGGATCGCGAGTCTTCCCATGGAATGGCACCCTAAACTCAACAATTGGCACCTATTGTGAGGCTTGATGAAAAGTTCCATCAACAATTTGCGCTTACTATGGAGCCCGGTGAAAAAATTCACAAACTGTCATTGTCAATGTCAAACTCTCATAAGACCTACGTTTTACCGGGGAAGCCCATGTGATCTACTTGTTGAGTAAACACACCTCCATCAATGAGGTCAAGGGTTCGATTCCCCAAGCATTCATTATTATGAAAAAATGTATGTTTCCACCGACACCATTCTACCTCCCATCAACTCCAAGTCCTCGTGTGAAAAAATCATCATCACCAACTCCAAATTGCAAAGGGAATGTCACCACTTCAGGTCTAGCGTTGAAAAAGCTTCAGTCAAGAGAATGTTTTTGTTAAACTCAAAAACTATTTGGTAAACCCTCCTAATCTCTTATTTTCGGTTGCTATCATTATATTTTACCATGTTGTATTGTAACGCCAGAGTTTTGTCCTTCCCTCCGTGACATGGACAACACTAAACACACAACATAAGCCCTCAATGATTGGCATTGGTCGCTTTCCATGATTGGTTTGGGTCGTCTATTATCATTGTCATGGTTCTCCATGATGCCCACCACGACTGGTGCAGCCTTCCTGTCACAATTGACTGGTTTTCCATGATCGCTTGACATGATGGTATGGCTCGTCAACCATGACCGACACAACAGTCCAATAATTGCTCGCACAATTTGTGTCGCCTATGCATGCCATGATTTAAATCACTTACCTAGTGATCTCATTACCAATAGAAAACTCCGATCTCAATCTTAATTTTTCTATTGGTAAGGGGGCAATTGATGCATCCAGTATTCAACTGAAATCATACAATACGATAATCTTACCAGAGTTGTTACCCTCCACAAACACAATAGGCATGACACACTTTCCTTTATTACACGCGGATGAGCTAAGCCCCCTAATTATTCACTCCCCTTTAGGGCTTTACCCATTTACAGACACGTATTAAAGAGGCAAGTGGTAAATAGTAGTTCTCTCAACCAATCACTCCAACAATTAGTAGAATCCCTTATTCCATCCACCAACAAAGCCATCCAATTCTCCCTTTATACACTTGGACATGAGGTGGAGGATTGATATGATTTGTGTCCTGTCATTTATCTCAAATAACCAAAGCAGCTCACCTCCCTTTTACCCTAGTGCTACATGTGGTAAAGGAAGTGGCATAATTTGGATAATTTGCCACACCAACCCATTTCACCACCACTTACATGTGGCAAAGGTGAAAATGGTGCAGGCTGGCTCCCCCTCTTCTCAATCAACTAATCTTTTGATTTAGCTTGTTTACCTCTTTTTTAAGTCTCACCAAATCAAAAAAAGACCAGTTTCTCATGCTTCCAAATACAAGTGGCAAGATGGACAAGTGTGGGCACGTATAAGCAAGGTAGATATTGACAAAATGAATTTACAATTCATCACTACCTTCACTGGTAATACATGTGTCTTTAGGAGGAGAGAGGTAATCTTATGAAGTGACACGTTTTTCTTTATTTTGCTAACCAACCATGGCACTTATATCGATTGGTTGACATATATTTGTATTATTATTATTATTTTATTCTTTACACGCCATCCACGTCAGAAGCAGGAGGTGCCTATAAATCGGACGCTCATTTATATTTTCTCGGCATTTCATTTTTTAGAGTTGAACTCCAAATCTCTCTCTAAGCCAGCTCAATACATCGCTCCCGGTTACTCTCCTCTCAAATACTGACTTGAGCTTCGGAGAAGGTCCCGCCGACCACCGCCGGCGGGTTCCTCTTTTGTAGATGTCCATCTCGGAGGCTAGTGGCGGACGTTGGTCAGGAAGTTCGACCCTCACCGGACCTCAAACACATTGAAGCAGACTCCTCCAAATTGAATTTTATCTCTACATCTCTTCAATATATACTACATTCTCCCCATATCAAGGATGACTATTCATGTAAAAAAATCAGATATGAAACTTGATACTCATGCCCATCTTTGCATTTTCGCCCAAAGGTCGTAGATGTAATGATTGTGACATGGTCTTTAAGGCAATAACATCAAAATTTTAGGCATGTCACCACCAGTGTCACGACGTCAGTGTGACTGTGACCTAGTTCACGGCCAGGTTTCTTCAAACATCACTACCGTGAAAGTGACCCTTTCTTGTTGTGGAACACCCTGATTTTGCCTCATCTTCATGCCTCAAATGATCTTCAAATGACATGAAATTAGCTCCAAATATTCCTTGACATATAGGACCTAAAATAAGATGAGAAAACAAAAGCTAGCATAAAATGGAATAAGTATAAGAAGATTACAACACAAATAAACAAGAAAGATCTAAATCATGCTAAGGTTCAAAATATGATCAATGAGCTACAATTATCACAATATCAACCTAAAATGGTAAAGTATGATAATTATGGCATTCAAGTGCCTGAGAAATGGGACAAATAATATGCATTGTTTAGGCATTATCAATCACCCACACTAAAAACGTATGTTTGTTCTCAAGAAAGATATTCCAATCATACAACTCGAAACTTCTCGTTGTCCATGTTTGAAATGAATCATCGGGAATGGGCCATTAGCTACTTACAATGCGACCTCCTACCTTCTCATATGCTCAATCTCATCGGAAAGTCCCAAGCGCAAAGCATTTATGCGAGGAAATGGTAGGCTTGTGGTGACTACTTGGATTCTCAACTTAGGTAGATATAACAATCACTCTTTTGATTCTTATTTGCACCTCCCCAACAAATTTGTCGCATTAAATGATCGAGAAATTGGGATATATATGTTATGCATTTTTTTTCTTCCCACACCACGACATAGGGGTTATCCATCCGTCAACCCACTTCCAATCATCTGATCCTCCTTGGGTTACACCCTTCTCTTGGTTATTGGATGGATTCCTCGTTCTTAAGCTCCTCCAATGTCCTTTCTCTCTCTTTCTCACTAAAATAGCCCAAAAACCCTATTTTCTCACTCTATGGTGACTCTCCTCTAGAAATTAACGTATGTTCATCTTTATAGGCGGCCATGAACACGGACAAGATCACGACCTCTAGCTGTGAGATCTCGGTTGTGATCATTCTTTCTGGCCCATGATCATTAAACACTGCCATTTTGGGTTGTGCTAGATACAAGTTCGCGGCTTTGAGATCATGACCGTGAACTAGAAGTTGCGAGCATGATCTTTTTCATGGGCTCGGGTGCGAAGGACCGCAAAATGGACTACGACTCCTACTACTTTTTCTTTGTATGTGGCCTCCTTGAGATCACGGTCTAGCAATCTGAGATCGCGACCGCGGACTAGTGCGTATCTCAGTCGTGAACTGGTGCTCCTCGGCTGTGAACTTCTGTTTTTGGCTCTTTTTGCCCTTTTTCGCTACACATGCATCCTCTTTATTTGTCAAAATCACTTGTATTCTTCGATGGCACCTAAAGACCATATATTTGTAAAATGAAGCAATTCTCGACTACAATAGAAAATTAAATAAATTAATATGCTTAATAGGACATGAAAACACCTAAGAAATTAAGGATAAATAACACATTTTTAGGAGTTATCAATATTCAAGGGAAGCATTGATCAAATAAACTAATTTTTGTAGTTTCTGCCGTAGAAAAAACTCATAAGTCATAACATAACATCTTAAACATAAGTTCATATATTTAGGCTTACGTGTTTTGATAAGATTCTAGCATACATATGTAAATTTCGAATACACTGGCCACCAATGAAAATGGTAAATGGGATTTTAAGACCCTACGCCAGCAGTCGGCCAAGCCAACCTTCAATCCTTCATCATTTGTGTCGCTTTGCTTCGCGAACAGGGCAAATTAAGAAAAACAATAAAAACACACGGTTAAATATAAAGCACACCCCTGTGTCGCTTTGCTTCACTTACCTTGCAAGGCTGCAGTGCAACAGCGACAACCGGTGGCGTTTGGACGAGCGATGTAGACTGGAGACAGAGAGCTTAATTCAGACCTTCTGTGGCCTGTGGGTTCAGAGGTGTAGTCGACCGGAGACAGGAAGCATGGTCTGAGACAACGAGATGTGTTGTTGAGGTTTCGCCGACGAAGATGGAGGGTGTTGTGTAGAGGTGCAGGAGTGCAGTGACTGAGTTTGAGAACAGAGAATTAGAGATAGATCCGATTAGGGGTTTTCCCCTCAAATCGACAGTAGGTAGAGGCAATCAGCCACTCGTTTTTTTTCACCCTCTCAATTTTCATAAAACGGCGCCATATTTGTGAATAATTGGGCATTTCTAACCCATGACTGAATTGTATAAAAACGCTAAGGAAACAAGTATCTACTTCATTTTTACGTCATAACCATTTTTACAATAGTTTTCTACGTTTTTGTGTACTAAGCAGTTTGGGTAGAAACTGAAGCGCTCTTGTGATCTACATAGGTATTTAATATTTGTTAGTACTATAAATATAATCTCTCTATACTTATCTCTATCTCTCTTATGGCTAGCAAAAGTTCTTACTGTTTAATTATGATGTGAATTCTATGATTCTTTATGTATTACTTTCGATGATCTAAGAATATATATGCTTATGCTTATGATATTCTATCTTCTATTCTGTGTTATCTTGATTTTGTGCTTAATACCATTATAAGTTGCTAGGAACCTGCTCTTATCTGGTATGCTATCACTTATGCATGTATGATCTTATTCGACGCAATTACTCATGTATCTATATGCTTGATGTTTGATATAGGTTGTCGAGAATTCACCCTAAAAATAGGTCACCAAAACCAAGGACCAATTTTATGGTGTTCGTATAGGGCTTAGTTATCAAAGTGTTGTCTATGATCCTTTGTTCGAAATTGATTAGTTAGTAGCATGAAGCGAAAGCACGCATCCTTTTGCATTTGGCGAAAGCTCGATTATAACTATATTAGTAGAGGAGATGGTACATCATAATAGAAGGAATTCATGAATGCATCATCATTTAGGTGTATGCATGATCATCTAGATGAAGCTACCTAAACAATAATTTCTCATATATGATTTCATTAATATTGGTATTTATTATGTAAATATGATTTTGATCATACATCTATTGAGGTAAATCTAGAAGGTAAAGAAATAGTATTTTGTTAATTGGTTGGACTCAAACCTATTGGTTGCCTACGTATTCGAGTAGTCGGGATTAATGTCAATGTAGTTTGTTCATTTTGAGTAAAGCTTGTACGTACTTATCTTAATATGCTCTATTAGGCCAGTATAGAAATTTCGGAAACCACGGGCCAAAGTAGAAAGTTTGTGTATAGTTCGGGTCAAACTAAGGTATTAACCCAACTAGTAATTATTATATGAACCTTGCTAATAACTATTACATGATGATAATAAATTGACAATAATTTTAATTCAACTTTTAATAGGTAGAAAATGGTGGATACAAGAAGCAAGAAGAAGATGAAGGAGGTAGTGCAATCAAGGGTGGCCAACCGTATAGTATTGAGGTCGCGTCGTGAGGAAGTAGAGAATGAGCGTTGACGTGCTAGGCTTGTGGAGAATCCTTCTTCCCCGGCTCCCGTGCCTTTTGACTTAGATACAGCTTTTGAGGGAGTGGTTGAGTATGATGGTAGTGATGACAATTATGATGACTTCACGGATGTGAATGAGGATTTCTTCGAGGGAAACCATTCGAATGCAGGTGGTTCTAGTGGACCTAGATTAGAGCCTGAGGTTCCTTTTGTGTCTTCTTCGTTCTCTCAGATTGTTCATGTTAGACGTGGACCTCGTGTCGTTTTGAGTCATCATGATCCGATTCGGAGGAGAGCAGCATTAGTAAGAGGAAGAAGGCGAGAGAAGCTTATTCGTGGATTCTTTACAGGAGTGGGGGTTTGGTGTGTGTTGAAGCTATGCAGCAGGTTGAGAGGTTTCGGAAAAGAGATTCTGATGTACGGATGTTCTTGACCTATTTGTTGGGGACCACCTTGTTTATGGACAGGAGTGGGGATCGGGTGCAGATTTGGCCACTCCGGTTCTTGGGGGACCTTAGACTGGTGAGAAAATATTCTTGGGGGTCTGCTACACTCGCCTATTTGTATAGGCAACTCGGCATGGCGTCTCGAGCGGACTACAAAGGCATGGGTGGGTGTTTGACCCTCCTTCGGAGTTGGATCTATGAGTACTTCCCGTGTTTACGAGATCAGAAGTTGGCGACACGTGGATTGGTGTGGTGGGATCCTTTTGCTAAGAAGTGGGAGGGATGAGATTTGGAGGTGGGGCACAGTTGATGAATGACATGTTGGATCACAATCGTCGAGTACTGGATAATATGACAGATGAGTTTGTTTTTTGGTTCCCATTCACCCTCAGACCTGGTGAGATGATCTCTCGTTCTTTATACTCTGGTGTCATTCGGTGCATGAGTGTTGAGGAGATGTACAATCCCTCGCGTTGCCTTCGAAAGTTGGGTACGTACAGACCATCCCCTCAGATTTGCTTCCTCTCGTTGATGTTTGTCGAGCTGCGAATGTCAAGATGTACTCCTTGTCCTACAGTCACGCCTTGAGTGAGATTGGGAAGTCCCCTCACTGCCACTAGGTGCAGTTGGATTCGATATCGAGACCTGCCCAGAAATCGGAAGATACTGACAATGAGTATCTATAGTGGTATGTGGGACGTACCCACTCGAGGATTGTCTGCCCCAGTGCTGCTGACCAGGAGATACACCACAATCTTAGTCATGATCAGGTAAGTTTTATTATGGTATTGATTTTGCTATTCTGTACAAACTTAAACATTGCATTAGTTATCGAATAACACACTAACATTTACATTTTTTTTATACAGTTAGTTGTGAAGCTCGTCCGAGAGTTACAAAATACTTCTTATTTACAACTATTATCTTTATATACCAATACTACTACAAATATCTCCTACTAGTCATGGTGACCCCCAAGTGCAAAGTAAAGATCTCGTTCATCCTCGAACAACTGCTCCCACCCTTAAGTACTCATTTTGTCTCAGAAATGGGTCCACAAGAAGGTGAATGGAGGAATTGGTACTGAATCCTTCTCAAATTCAAGGCGTACCCAATGGTTGCAGGTGTTACACAACACCATCACGTTGCTAGGGTGAGCTACCCCCGAATTGGTTATCATAGGTAAAACAAGTATGTCCAAATGGAACACGTCTCGTCACCCCATCTGTGGTATCGTCGGTTTGACTGTAGAGGATTATGACCCAGTTAAATAGTGTTGCAGCTATGGCGAGATCCGACTCATTCATCCAATGATCCATTGTAGTACTCTCTGGCTTATTCCATTGTAATTGTGTAAGAGCAAGATCCACATCTTCATATGCGTCCTCACAATGTTGGATCTACATTACTTCATCTATAATAGCCTTTCTCACCCACAAGTGGTGGTCATCAACTCCATGAAATGCATGCAAAAGAGCCCGAAATCCGCAATGGCCATCCGAAACAGGGTCTCACCAACCAAGACATCGATCTCTGACACTTTCTGGGGTGAAGCAAAAGTAAGAAAAAACATTCACTCCATCAATCTTGTGCATGGGATCCCTTTTCGGGCCACCTGTGGATGTAGTTTTTTTAGTTAGCTTATTGGCATATTAAACATACTTATTGAATATCAATGGATTAAACAAAATAACTCAAATTATTCAATACAAACATGTATCATCTTAGGTTGTTGCTTTTCTCTTTGTGGATGGGAGCATCCTTCGGGGCACCTGTTGGTGAAAATTTTGTTGTAATTAGCTTATTGGCATATTAAACATACTTATTGAATATCAAGGGATTTAACAAAACAACTCAAATTATTCAATACAAACTTGTATCATCTGAAGTTGTTGCTTTTCTCTTTCTATGGATGGGAGCATCATCCTTCGGGGCACCTGTTGGTGAAAATTTTGTTGTAATTATCTTATTGGCATATTAAACGTACTTATTGAATATCAAGCGATTTAACAAAACAACTCAAATTATTCAATACAAACCTGTATCATCTGAGTTTGTTGCTTATCTCTTTGTGTGGATGGGAGCACCCTTCGGGGCACCTGTTGGTGACAATTTTCTTATAATTAGCTTATTATCCTATTAAACATACTTATTGAATATCAACAGAACAAAGTCATTCAAATTATTCAATAATAACCTGTATCATCTGAGGTTGTTGCCTTCCTCCTTGTGCTCCTACTAACCTGGCGTGCGGCAGCATGCTTATGCCAAGAAGGATCACAAGCGTTTTCTCTTCTAGGTGGCCGACATTTTTCCTTCGTAGACACTCGTGGCTCCCTAAGGACTTCCTCTTCGGGGTAAAGCTGACTCATTAATGCGACCTTGGCTGCTCGAACTACAGACGGACCACGCCTACACACCTTAGCCACTAGATCATAAAAATCTGAAGATCATTGGCGTCATTGTCTTCGAACCGTCTTGCATCGTGAGGGTTAGCATAGTCCAAAGTAGACCAGAATGGTGCCAAGTGTGCTATCTAAAGTTGGTCTCCTGCTCCTTTAAAGGAGTTGATTCGACAACTGCATAGGAGCCCATGTGTCCTCCCAATCACACAATCACATTCCGAAGGAGTCTTCTTTCCCTCTACAAACATCAACTCAATTGCATATAGGCTTACACTTCCCCTTATAACGTTGTAGGGTGGTCCATAGGCTCCTTTTAATGTCTTTGTTTGACATGCATCTAGCTCTTTCCTAATTTCCATCACTTGCCCCCCAATGCTAGTATTCCATGATAAAAATAAGTGTATCAACCCCCCCCCCCCCCCCCAGTGGAAGTGTTTAGCCAAGCTTCCAGAGTAGAGTGAGCCAATTCAACCTTGTTTGTACTTGTGTTACCAATATGAAAAATATTGTTAGTGTAAGCACAAGCCCACTTCTCTTTATGCTTTAAACACTAACGATCCAAGTATTCTACCAACCTACTATCCCCCCCCCCCCCCCCCCAGAATCCACTTCTGAAAATTTTTCATTCCTCAATCATAGAATGTAGCATGGTGATAGAAACAAAGTTCCTATAAGATTTTATATTTGGGGACTAGGGTTTATACGAATAGAATTAGGGATTGAGATTGGGATTTGGGGAAGAAGAAGAAGAAGAACAGAATTGGCCTAGGCCATTAGAAGGATCGAGAGAGAGAGTTGAGAGGATAGGGAGATTATGGTTTGAAAGGCTTTTATTAATATTCTTCTTGAATGATTATGACGTAAACCCAAAGTACATATATACAGCTAAATATTGGAATAAACCTGATAAATAACTTAATAGGACTCGAATATTACTAACCCTAACAATAATTATCCTACCATAATTAATTATAGAAACCCACAAGAATCGTGTTTCTATCATTCCCTCCCCCTTGAGACCAACATTGCCCTCAAGGTTGACCGAGTCGACCCACTTCTTCACATCTCCCGTGCAATCCGCGCCTTGTCGCCTCCACTCCTTACGCTTTCTTTTCTTCCAATCATGCTCCAACTCTTCACTAGGGTTTCTTGCACCAATCTTCTAATGTGGACCCAAATCTCCGAATTTCACTTAAATGGGCCCACTACTCACTTCCTTCGTGTACAAGAATCCATCCTTAAACATTAATCCATCAAAAACCTCAAACTCCAAGTTGGTGGCTCGTGCAGGTTCATTCCTGTCAAGAGGTCGAGACTTTGGACTTGTATTTAGCATCCTTGCACTTAGCCCATTAGTTTGTTTAATTATCTCCTCCATTTCTCCGGGCCCATGAGTACGAAAGAGCCCACCTGCTAAACAAACAAATTCATCTTCCAACTCCTCAGCCTTGTACAAAGATAGCTCCTCCTGTTGGACCACACACCTAAGTGATTCTGGCCCAGCTCCATATAGAAGAGACATGACCAAACCGTCATTCTTTAGTCCAAGTCCCATTGGAATCGGTCCATATTGTTGATAAATCTTCAGTTAACTTCGATGGCCCAATCGGTGACCTAGGTCTCTTTCACCTGTCTCTTTGAATGGCTCCGCACATCTCAATCCGATAGAATACTCGACCCAACCAACTGGCCATGATCCTGTCATATTGCGCTGGTGGAAGGTGACTCCATAGGGTTTGCGAGAAGAGAGCTTTCCCATACCTTCCTCTCTTTGTTTGTCAGCAGGCCCCTCTTTGTTTCGTCGGCCGACAGCGATGAGCTCCTCAGCCGGCAGAGAGGCCGGCCCATCTCTGTCCTTGACTTTCCCTTCGCCCACCAGTCCGACGTCGTCATCAGCGGACTCGTCAGCGGAAGCGGTGCCTCCCGCAAGTTTTGAGACTCCGTCCAGACTCCCCAGACGCGCGTCGCCGCCAGCTCCAATGTTCCCTCCTCCGCCGACAAATAGCTCCACAGATGGGTAGACGGCAACCCAAATCCTCCCATCCTTAACTTTCTCGTCGCGGCACGAGCTTACAATGACGGCGCCGCCGTTGAAGCGAATGGTGATGCCGACGAGTCTGCCCGACACTCTGTTGTCAATTAATTTTTCTCCGGCTGCCCATCGCTCACCCGACAGTTGCGTCGCATGCCCCCGACCTACTTCGTCTTCTCGGCGCTCGAAGTCCAAGCAAGAGCCGACGCCATGTGCATGATCTCCACTGGTGGCAAGGCAACTCGATGACTCTGCTCTGCCTCACTTCTTCGGTCGATGCCTACGTTGGGCTCCGCCAACGGTGCCTCCACGCTTCCGATTGACCGAGTCTTGCTCGCCACAGCGCTCGGTGAGATTTGGGAGGCGTCGCTGCTCTTAGCAGCCGCTTTCTTGTTGTCCGATTGGAGGAAGGTCATCGATCGTTCCACAACTCATACCCGTTCGCCATTGGTGGTTGTCGTCGTCACCGTTGGAGCCGGCGACCGTCATTGCCTCTTCCTATACTTCCAGTTCATCGAGCTTCCCATCCTCGGTCTCCTTCTCGCACCTTTGGCCTAGGTGTTGTCGAGGGTTGCGGTGTGGAAGCTCACCTCCACCGCATTGGCTGCGTTTAGCAGTGTTGTCGTCTCTGTCATAGCAATGATGGTCAGCTCCTTCTCCCTCCCTGGTGGCGCAAGGACGGCGACGGTAGGAGGAACGGTTAACAATGGTGCTGGTGATGGCACTGCGATAGCTGTTGGAGTGGTAGCGACGGCTAGTGGTGTTGGGAAATTCGTCGGCGCAACCGCTGTTGATTCTTGACAGTTGCTGGTCTCGCGGCGGCGACGCGCGATCCGTTCGAGTTTGGATTCGAGTTCTATCTGCCACTGCCTACGTTTTGCCTCTTGTTCGTCCAAGATGACTTGCATCCGGTCACAACACTCGAGCATTTTGCGACAGTAGTCCCTCATTTGGTTAGAGGACTCGCGCAACGTGTATCGATCCTCGAGTGAGAGTTGTGATGAACTCATACTTGCAACGGGGCTCTGATACCAATTGATAGAAACAAAGTTCCTATCAGATTTAATATTTGGAGGTTAGGGTTTATACGAATAGAATTAGAGATTAAGATTGGGATTTGGGGAAGAAGAAGAACAGAATCGGCCTAGGCCTTTAGAAGGATTGAGAACGAGAGTTGTGAGGATAGGGAGATTAGGGTTTGGAAGGATTTTCTTAATATTCTTCTTGACTGATTATGACGTAAACCCAAAGTACATATATATAGCTAAATACTGGAATAAACCTGATAAATAACCTAATAGGACTCAAATACTACTAACCCTAACAATAATTTTTCTACCATAATTAATTATAGAAACCCATAAGAATCGTGTTTCTATCACGTGGTGGCTTCCATCACCTTCTTCCAAGAACCATTTACCACTTCTCGAGCAACTTCTTGTGGTATCCCCAAATCGATCATCTTAGCTTCAATGTTCCGCTTTATGTGCCATATACACAACAAGTGAGTTGATTTCTTTAAGACCTGATGGATAGCGGCAACCAATCCTCCCTCCTTGTCGGATAGAATTGCATTCGGTATGCGATCTCCAAGCATGTTTTGTAGCTCTCTCAAAAGCCAAACATAAGAATCTATGGTTTCCCCCTCCATCATAGCAAATCCAATGTTGAAGTTCCTCTTGACGGGGGTAACACCAATAACCTCAACCATGGGCCTCTTATATTTGTTCGTCTTATATGTGGAATCAATCAAGATTACACGGTACCAAGCACTCAACATCCGAACAGACTTAGGGTGAGCAAGAAAAAAGTGAGTAAGGAGGCGATCATCATCACGCTTGTAACCAATGTAGTACCCCATCTCTCTGACATGGTGTAACGTCCAATCCGAAGGGGTCATGCCACCCAATCTCTCAATCCTTGTATATGCTGTCGTGTTGTAAAATTGTCATTTGTTATGGTGAGTACCATACTTTTGTTTGATAGTTTGCATCATTTTTCGAGGAGGAACACAAGCCCATTCAGTCTCCTTCACATCCTTTAGCTCTTCATTAGTAAAAGCATTCCTCTAATGCATGGTTGTGTGATAGGGCAAAAGCGTATATGCCAATTTCCTATCTAGTAGTAAAACCGGAAAGTCCGGGTATCGTCTCTCAGGGACTGGTACAACCTTAAGATTTACCGATTTAATAGAGCAAACTATAGGTGAAAATGATTTAATGAGATTATTAACTACTAGCAAAATTAACTAAACAAGCAAATTAAAGTGTCGGGTTTAAATCAATGGGAGAAAGCTCTGGGAGAAACACCGGGATTCACTACCTATCCTATCCAGATTAATTCACATATTCCAATCAATTTAATCCAACTCTCTACAGCCAGGATATCACGAATGTGCTAGCTATCCCTGTCGGGAATTACTACGTACTAAACAATTAAATCAAATCCTACTGTCGTAGCTCAATGACTTAATTATTTAGCCTGAAGACCGATATCCTATTTAAGACCGCATAGCACCTTATTTAATCCACTGTCACTTCGATAAGTTACTATTTCACATGAAATAGGTTCAGTTATTAGGGTTTCACTGTCGCTAATCACCTAATTAACTACAAATCAATGTATTGGTGGCCAGTCAACACAAAGCATTAAGCAATTCCATGCAATAGAGATTGGAAGAAAAGAATCGTAAATCAATCCATCAAATCAAGAAATAGCTACATCCTATGGTGTTTCCCCCAGAAATTGGGGTTTAGTTCATGATGAAATTGAGATAAATCGATAGGGTTTTGTTCATCATGTTCTAAATCAACAATTAACAACTAATTCGGTTCAGAAAGTCCAACCAACTAATCGCTCTCGTTGAACTCAGCTCAAACCGCCTGGAAAACTGATCGCCGATGGATAAGAAGTTGCTCGTCTCAAGCCGCCAAGCGTTTGTGCTGCGCCGTTACCTTTGCTTTTCGCCTAAAGAATTTGCCCTCCAAAACAAAAGAATCAAAGTGAGTCTCCTGTTTCAGCCGCCCCCGATTAATAAAACCTCCTCCCTCTTTTCTTTTCCTTGCCGTCCACCTCTTCAGAAGAAGATCAAACAAATGGGCCCATTCATTCCGTGTCCCCTCAATAATAATCAAAGTCCGCCCATTAATTCCCTCCTTCATTGGCCCAGCAAAGCCGGCCCACATGACCTCCTGTTCAAATAAAGCCCGCCGCCCAGCTCTAGTATATATCCGCCCCAGCAAATCCTGGCCCAAAATCCTCTCCCTAGTTCCGTCCCCAGCAAGAGAAGAGTAGAATGGGCTTTGGCCCAAATCAATTTCTCTATTCAGCTGCACTCCATTCCCAGGCCCACTTCTTCCTTCCTTTTCGTGTTCTCTTCACCTGTAATGCATTAAACTCATGGCACTAGGTAGTAATGGTTTTTCAACCATTCTCGGGTTAGCGAGCCCTAAAATAGCACCAATTGGCTAAAACATACCATGAATAATCACATAAAGTCCAAAAATTCAATATGTTAAAGCCGATTATCACAACCCCACACTCAATTGTTGCTTGTCCCTAAGCAACGACTCAAACAACACAAACACATAACCATCCAAAACAATAACAATGACACACCACAGACTCAACACTCAAACACTCAAAACAAAACAAAATTTTCCTTGTACTCTTGTTGTAATCAGTAGTTTCTTTCTCAACGGATAAGTTGTGCTTTCATGGTCATATCTTTCACCCCACACTCAAGGTCTTTGCAACCATTACCATTGACTGACTCAAATCCATCAAAAACTCAAATAGCAACACTCAATTTTGATCGTCAGTAGCGGGTGATTAACAACTTATGGTGCAACAGTTATTAGGAGAATCTAACCACATCAGTGAGGTGCATATCTCGTGAGGACAATCTGGCTTACTCACACCAATCATAAGCAATTAATTATGCATGAGTCTAAAAAACTAATGGGGGAAGCCTTTCGCAAACATGATTTTACTTTAAGCACATCACTACCTTTTATGACAAGGAGAGGCTTTCTCTCTTTCTGCTTTTGCTTGCCGAGAGGTCGTATTTAGTACAAGTGGGATTTGTTTCTTACTACAGCGTGACCGAGCAAGAGCAATTTCTCCTTCTTAGCACTCACATAAGGGCTTCTTTTAACTCCTTATCCTCGGTCCGTGTGGAGGGTCATTGCATCCTCAAATGGCACTTCACTCAACTAGGGATCGTACTTGATAAGCAACATCGTACGGTCGCGAACCGATTCTCAATTGAATCTTTCCTCATCCCCATGTGCAATGAGTGATTGCCTCACACGATTTTGGCATTTTTACCCACACTTTAATTGTTATGGCAACTTTCTTATATTTTACTTGTCAGGTAGTGTTTTCTTTTATGAAGATACAGTTTACCCCATCATAAAATATTCAAAACAGAGAGACTCATTGCAAAATCAAAAGCTCACAATTGATGCAAGTAAGCAGGGTTAATTGCATGATTGGTCACTAAGATTATAAAAAAACGTTCAAGTTTGGTCACTCGAAATATTTAAATTCATTGGTGGTACTTCACTTTACAAAAATCGTTCACGCTTGGTCACTCTCCGTTAGCTGCCGTCCATCGCCGTTAACAGAGTCCGTTAAGTGATGACGTGGCAGACGGAATTGCCTAATCAGCACTATTTAACCCGAAAATAGGCTGACCCGACCCGCCATGTCATCTAAACTTACCCAACCCTCTAACCAAACCAGACCCTACCCACCAATTAAACTACCCACTAAGATTAAAACTCTAATTTCTAAAACAAATCAACAGTTCAACACCCTCCCCTTCTCCATACCCCCGCCGCCTTCCTTCCTCCCGATTTTCTTCCATCGTCAAACCCCAGCACCATAGCAGGCATCATAAGCCCCCATATCCCCAACATCCAAAATCATATCACCCACCAACAATCTGCCCAGAAAACCGGCTCCTACTCCCAGCACCATCTTCCCTCTGCTTCCGCCGCCGCTCTTGTGAGGTCTCTACACCACCGGCGCTCCATACTCGTCGTAGGCGGGCTGCGGTGGGTATCCCGGGTACCCCCCAGCCCCAATTCCTAGATTCGGCGGGTTGGCCATCATAGGCTGGGTCGGATCTGGCTTCATTGCCTTCGGCGAAGCGGCCGCGACGGAGAATTTCTCGCCGAACTTGTACGCGAATTGTCAGCGTGCCTTTGCTCTTGCCGTTGGGAGTCCTGACTGCGTAAGTCATCGATTTATCCCCCGCCGCCGCCTTCGAAGAGCTCCTTGACGAGGACGTTGACCTCACCGATCTAGCGGTTGCCGAGGCTGCGGTCGGAGAAGATTTTGAATTTGATTGTGAGGCGGTTCCGGTGGAGGGAGGGCTCGTCGACGGTGAAGCTGACGCAGTGGTTCCAATTGGGTTTGGGCCGATTTTCTTCCTCCCTGATCATGAAGCTGATGATTTGTTTTAATTTCTACACGTAAACTGGAGAGGAAGAAAATCGGGAGGAAGGTAGGCGGCGCGGGATGGAGAGGGGAGGGTGTTGATTTGTTTAGAAATTAAGGTTTTAATCATAGTGGGTAGTATAGTTGGTGGGTCGGATTGGTCTGGTCTGGTTTGGTTAGAGGGTTGGGTAGGTTTAGATGACATGTCGGGCCTCAATGACGTGGCGGGTCGGGTCAAACTATTTTTGGATCAAATATTGTTGATTAGGCGTTTCCGTCAGCCACGTCATCACTTAACGGACTTCGTTAACGACGATGGACGACAGCTAACGGAGAGTGACAAAACGTGAACGGTTTTCGTAAAGTGAAGTATCACCAATGGATTTAAATATTTCGAGTTACCAAACTTTAACGTTTTTTGCAATCTCAGTGACCAACCATGTAATTAACCCCAAGTAAGCACGGTATCCAAACATGTCGAATGGTCAATGTTCTCCACCTAACTACTTCACCAAGAGTCATTACACTATCCTCACAAAAGAGAATGTTGCTAAAAGAGTTTGCTCATTCAAAGCACATCAAGTCAGTCAAAACATTTAAGCTCATTGTGAAGAACCATGCAATTCAACACTAGTGGGGTGATTTCGATGATTTCATTCAAGCACAAACTCATATCACACGCATCACAGTCATTTACATCATGTTACCACAAGAGTACAAGGTTTTGTTTTTATTTTTTCCTGATTTTTAGGTGTTTTTTAGCCATTAGATTAACACAGGCAGCCTGCTTTTTACACAGGCAAACTGCATGCAGTTTGGCTGTGCTCAACCTAATGGCAATTTTTTTTTACGACACAAGACGAGACACTGTGGACAACTACGACTCGACATAAAACACGACAAGAACCCAGACCATCCACCCCACACTCAGGATGGACATTGTCCACAATGTCTACAACTACACACGACACACCAATAGATTCACTTAACTAACATTATACAGGCCATCATTCACTACGAGTAGTATTCGCAAAGAAAAGAAAAGAAAAGAAAAAAGAACCTCGGGACAAGCTCCTATGAAGGAGGGCTCGATGCAGAAGTGCCGAGCTTCTCATCTAGACGCCGGTTTAACTCCTGGATCTTCTTATCTTTCTCTGCGACTCTGGCTTCCAAGAGAGCTATTCTGACTATGAGCTCGTCTTTTTCCCTTGCACAATGTCTTCTACTCTTCCTCTAAACAACAATCCTTCTTCAATTTGACCAACCAATCACAATCTACCAATTATTACTCCCCAGATTGAAATTGCACAAAATCCTCAATTCTGAAGAACCCTAATTTTCTTCTTCTTTTTTTTTTTAACAACTGGGGAGAGGGGCGATTGGGGCTGGTGGGGGGTCGGAGTATGGTGTGTGTTGTTTCCAAAGGCAAGGCGAGAGGGCTCGCCGACGGAGGGGCGGGAGGCGACGACCGCTGGTCGGGTTGCTGCAAATCGGCGCGAGTGGCGATGGTGGCCGACACGGAGGGTGAGACCAGGAGTCGGTGCGGCGCGGGGCTAGGGTGGGAGGCTGGGTCGCCGGCGCGGCGCGGAGGGTGGCGGAGGTACGGCGCGACGACGGCCGGCGCTGGGTTTGGGGAGGCGGAGGGTGGCCTGTGTTTCGTCGTCGCTGTGGAGAAGAAGGAGGAGAGAAGAGGGGAGGAAGGGGAAGGGCGGAAGCCCGACTCCGATTTTTACTTTTTGTTTTTTTTTATATGAAACGGTGTCGTCCCATTTTTTTCGGAGTTTTTTTTTATTCGGAAGAAAATCCCTTTCAGTCCCCCCTTCCTTCTCAAAAATGTCAGATCAGTCCTCCCCCCCCCCCCCCCCCCCAAACTTTCAGATTAGTCCTCCCCCCACATTTGCGGTTTGCCTGTGCTCATTTTGCAAACTCCCTGTGCAAAAAACAGCCTGCCCGTGTACCTACAAAACACCAAATAATACCTTCCTCAAGCCTTTTGGAGCTGAATTTTGGCGGAGAGCCTCTAGACACACCCAAAAACAAAAAAAAATAAAAGAAATTTGAAAGAAAAACTCACCTTGGGTTGCCTCCCAAAAAGCGCTTGTTTTTCGTCGCTAGCTTGACGTGAAATAGCCCATTCCAGATGGTATGTTGAGATTTCCAAGATGGAAACCCCTTCAATATAGTGCTTGAGCCTCTGACCATTCACCTTAAACGCCCCTTGATCACCAAGAATCTCGACTGCACCATGTGGGTACACTTTGGTCACCGTAAATGGTCCGGACCACCTTGACTTTAATTTTCCAGGGAAGAGTTTAAGGCGTGAGTTGAAAAGTAATACCTTCTCTCCCACCTTGAACTCTCTTCTCAGTATGTGGTGATCGTGCCACTTCTTGGTTTTCTCCTTATAAATCCGGGCATTTTCATAGGCGTTAAGCCTAATCTCGTCGAGCTCATTCAGTTGCAACATGCGCTTCTCTCCAGCAGTTTTTAGATCAAAGTTCAGCTTCTTTATAGCCCAGTACGCCTTATGTTCGAGCTCGACGGGCAAGTGGCAAGCTTTTCCAAACACCAATCTGTATGGAGACATGCCCAAAGGAGTCTTGAAAGCAGTCTGGTATGCCCAGAGTGCATCATCTAACTTCCTTGCCCAATCTTTCCTTGTTGAATTCACTGTCGTCTCCAGAATGTGTTTCAGTTCTCTGTTGGAAACCTCCACTTGCCCGCTGGTTTGTGGATGATAGGGTGTAGCAACTCGATGCTTAACCCCATATCTGGCCAGCAACGTGTTCAACTCCTTTCCCATGAAGTGTGTGCCCTCGTCACTGATGAGAACTCGAGGGACTCCGAATCTGGTGAACACGTTCTTCCTCAACAAAATTCACCACCGTCTTTGAGTCATTGGTGGGCAACGCCACTGCCTCCACCCACTTGGATACATAGTCGACTGCGACTAAGATATATTTGTTGTTGAAAGACGGTGGGAATGGCCACATGAAATCCACTCCCCATACATCAAACATCTCTACCTCCAAAATCGAGGTCTGCGGCATCTCCATCCTTGCAGATATGTTCCCTGTTCTTTGGCACCTATCACATTGAGCAACAAAATCACGGGCATCTCGAAATAGAGAAGGCCAATAAAATCCAGATTGTAACACCTTTGCTGCTGTCCTATGAGGTCCAAAGTGACCTCCTGCGGCCATAATATGACAGAAATTTAGCACTGACTTTACCTCACACTCAGGAACACATCGTCTTACCATGGTATCAGCACAATGCTTATACAGGAAGGGGTCTTCCCATATATAATTCTTGGCAATAGTAATCAACTTCTTGCGCTGTTGATAAGACAAATCAGGGAGCTTACCTGTGGCGAGATAGTTCGCAAGGTCTGCATACCAGGGAGCTTGTTGGACAAGGAGAGCGTAAAGCTGCTCGTCTGGAAAAGACTCATTGATCTCAACCTTGTCCTTAGGAATGGCCTCAAGCTCAAGTCTAGAAAGGTGAGCGGCTACCAGATTAGCCGAACCTTTCTTGTCCCGAATTTCAACGTCGAATTCCTGCAAAAGAAGAACCCAACGAAGCAATCTCGGCTTGGCCTCCTTCTTTAAAAGAAGGTGCCGTACAGCTGCATGGTCAGTGTACACAACAGTTTTCGATCCCATCAAATAAGATCATAATTTATCAAAAGCAAACACCACAGCAAGCAGTTCTTTCTCAGTAGTGGAATAGTTCAATTGTGCATCATTAAGAAGCTTACTTGCATAGTACACCGCATGCAACTTACCTTCCTTCCTCTGCCCCAAAACTGCCCCGACTGCATAGTCGCTAGCATCGCACATAATTTCAAATGGTAAAGTCCAATCGGGTGCAGTGATAATGGGAGTAGAGGTTAACTCCTTCTTAAGTCGATTGAAGGCCTGCAAACACTCATCAGAGAAGTTAAACGCAGTATCTTTGGCCAACAAATCACATAAAGGCTTGGTGATCTTTGAGAAGTCTTTAATAAATCTCCGGTAAAAACCGGCATGACCTAAAAAACTTCTAATTCCTTTTATTGTGCTGGGAGGGGGAAGTTTTTCTATGATTTCAATCTTAGCTTTATCAACTTCTATCCCCCTCGCCGAAATTCGATGACCAAGCACTATACCTTCTGTCACCATGAAGTGACATTTTCCCCAGTTCAAGACTAGATTAGTCTCTTCACATCTCTGCAAAACTCTAGACAAGTTAGCCAAGCAATGTTCAAAGCTAGTACCAAAAGTCGAGAAGTCATCCATGAAAACTTCAAGACTCGATTCTAACATGTCAGAGAATATGGCAGTCATGCACCGCTGAAAGGTTGCTGGTGCATTACATAATCCAAAAGGCATTCTATGATATGCAAAAACACCAAAAGGACATGTAAAAGCAGTTTTCTCTTGATCCTCCGGTGCTACTGGGATCTGAAAATAACCGCAGTAACCATCTAGGAAGCAGTAGTGATGACCCGCTAACCGTTCGAGCATTTGATCAATAAAAGGAAGAGGGAAGTGATCCTTTCGGGTTGCCTCATTCAACTTCCTATAATCTATACATACTCTCCAGCCCGTAACAGTTCGGGTAGATATCATCTCATCCTTATCGTTTCTCACTACTGTTATTCCTCCCTTTTTAGGGACAACATGCACGGGACTAACCCAAGTACTATCAGAGATAGGGTAAATAATACCTGCATCCAATAGTTTCATTACCTCCTTATGCACCACTTCTTTTATGTGCGGGCTTAGTCTCCGTTGTGCCTGGACGGAGGGCCTGGACTCCTCCTCTAGAAGGATCTTATGCATACAAAATGCTGGACTAATGCCTTTGATATCGGCAATTGTCCAGCCTAACGCCTGTATGTGCTGGCGTAAGACCTTCAAGAGCTCCTGTTCCTGCGAATCAGTCAGTGTAGCAGAAACAATCACAGGTAAAGTGGAGTTTTCCCCCAGATATGCATACTTAAGGTGACTAGGCAATGGTTTAGTTCCAATTCCGGAGGCTGGATCCGAGATGGAACCATTTTCTCTGGAAACTTAGCCTTTTCATCACCTTCCACCTGCATAGGCAATGCC